CGCACTGGTTGTGGCGATGTCTGCTAGAGGACCTAGCAATCACGAAGGAGAAATAGACGTTCACCGGACCTAATTAGATCGTCATCCACGGAGGATGAGAATTATCAAGGACCTTCACGCACACCTCCGAGAAGGTGCAGAGATACGTCTCAGGATTCCAATTCTCGTCAGAATCATTCGCCTGCACGCAGGCATTCAGGAAGGTCTTCTAGAACGTCCACATCTCCACGCAGATCTCCACGAAGGTCACCACAGAGGACCATATTACCTTCAGGAAGGCAATCACGGAAGCAGATGCGCACGTCTCCAGGCAGGTCTCCATGCAGATCTCCTTATAGAACTTCTCAAAGTTCTACATACAGATCGCCACGCAGGTCTCCACTCAGGTCTCCACGCAGATCTCCACGCAGGGAGGACGCTCAGCGACGACTTTTATCTGGACATGAAACAGAGGTTCCTTCAACGCAGACATCACGGACCAGAGAGGTGTAGCGGTCTTTGGACGAGACCGCAACACTCTCAGATGTGTCACTACATCTGCAGTCGTCGCAGACCTTCAACCCGGCCATCTTTATGCAGCACATGATGGACCTGATGGACAAGCTGCGAGAAGTAACCTGCATGAAGGAATGTGTGAAGGATCACGCACTTGACGGTCATCCTCTGCAGTTTCGAGGATTAATATAGACGACCTTTGGACCATCCCACTTCACCCTCAGACCTGGATCTTCGTTGTGAGCCTATGCGAAGGAACTCTTCAGCATGGAGGAAGAAATCTTCGCCTGTGCGAAGACAGAGAGATACGTGTTGAAGTTCAAGAGGGGTACTCTTGTCCGAATTCATCACCTGCGCAGATCGTCAGGCAGATCTTCAGACTGGATCCAGGACGGGATTCACATCGTTGAGAATCTTTAGATAGATATATCTACATCAGAAGATAATAGCAGGACTAACTGCACGCAAGCACTCCTTGGTGCTAACAACCTACACCTTCACGAAGGTTAGAGATGTATCTGAAGAATCCAGGAGGGACTCATGTCCATATAGAGATCTTCACCTGCGTACAGATCTTCAGACAGTCACATTGGCGTGTTTCAGCACAGCCTTGCTAAGGCTATGAAGTTACAAAGTCAACATATTCCCGACGTCCAAGCCAGGGAATTCCCGCTACTTCACATGGGACCCTTCATGAAGGCTCCAGAGATTGATGTAAACTACAAAATCATCAACGACTCCCTTTGTAGAACTTACACTAAAGTTGAGCATCAACTGTACAAGGACCTGTGTGTTTCAACACAAAGAGGGTATTTTACGGCGCTTCATTGAGACAGATGAATACAGTCTACAAGTAACAGCGCTAAGGAAGTATGGATTTCAGCTGATCATCTGTATAAAAGGACGACTGCATTATCTTCAGGAATGAAGGAACAGTCACAGCAGCCAGGAAGACAGTCTACCTACATCGGTATTACGCGGCGAAATCCTTCGCGCGTTTACCATTCAGCCCTCTATACACGTGGTCACTCGTGTAACTCGGGAAGGCTACGGACAAGGCCGAGTGTTGATAAGATATCAACGACTGCACAAGATTATACAAGGACCTTTTTCCTGCTACACCGGTGACGTCACATCGTGGGAATCTAAAGGAATCAAACTGCTTCATTTTGATTGGTCCATGAGAGACAACGCCCTGCGCAAAAGTCGGACGTCGCTCACGTGTCAGGAAATTGTTTGCAAGTGACAACAACCTTTCAACGTGGGAGGAAGGCCTCAACTACAGTCCAGTTGGCAGGGAACAGCATGATTCGACTGTCTTCACAGGGTTAGAGACCTCCCCTGTCAGCATTGAAGACTGTTCATCCGGCGAATTGCAGCAACATACGTTTGACGGACTTTTGGTTGCGGCAGCCAGTCTACTTTATATAGACTTCATAACGATGGCAGTCCCAGATTCGGAAGTTGCTTCGCTTCCCTTACGGACATGGCAAGGGTTCCACGGTCTACTTACAACGTAGAACATGAGCAGATTCGGGGAAGATGTTTCATCTCACCACAGAATTACATGGTTCTGTCAGAGGATCATTGGATCTAGATACAAGCCATTGTATCTCAAGCACTACTCTCTCCATTATCACTACGAAGTTGGCAGAGCCTACTCAGTCCTCTCACGTCAGCACATGACTTGCAGAGGGAGACTACATCTATGCCACTCCAAGTCTTCGTGAATGGCCATCTGGACGATCCGGACCCCTGCGGACTTCCGGACGGACTAAAACCTTATCTACTATGGACTCTGAGATCGAATGTTTGCGGAGGGACCTACTTAGCCTAGCCTGAGTGCAACACTCATCTCTACGTAGATGCATCCCTTCAGGGATGGAGAGCGCACTTCGACAACGAAGTGTCAGCTGGGAAATGGACGTTGCAGGAAGAAAGTCTGCACATCAACATGCTAGAGATGAAAGCAGTAATAAATGCCATACTTCACTGGACCAGCATTCTAAGAAATGCTTATTTGATTATCCATACGGACAACTCCACAGTGGCGTTCTACATAAACAAACAAGGATCAACAAGGTCGGCGAACCTTCTGGACCTTTGCTTTCATCTGTTCAGCATAACGGACGATCTGAACATCCACATAAAAGCATGCCACATTCCAGGAGCAAAGAATGTGATAGCAGACGCCCTATCTCGTCCAACACAACTATCCCCAACAGAATGGATGCTACAACCAGAGGTCTTCAAACAGACTATACAATCGATAGGAGCTCCGCTCATAGACTTGTTCGCCACAAGATTCAACAATCAACTGGCAACATTTGTCTCTCCAATACCAGATCCACGAGCATGGGCAACAGATGCTCTAAGCATCTCTTGGGAAGGACTAAACGCTTACGCGTTCCCGCCTCCAGCTCTAATACAGCAAGTGTTGCAGAAAATCAAGCAGACGAGGAACCTGCAACTGATTTTGCTTGCGCCTATTGGCCAGCGAGAATGTGGGTTCCCATTCTCATGCAAGAACTAGGACCTCCTCAACTGCAACTACCAGAGTGGACGAACTTGCTAGTACATCCGCACACCAAGCAAGCACACGGGAGCCCCACAGCGTTCCTCCTACACGCATGGACCGTATCAAGCCTTGCTTGAATAAGAGAGGATACTCCATCAGGGCAGCGAAAGCGGTAACGCTAGCTTTACGCAAATCAACCCGCAACTTGTATGACGACAAGTGGCAAAGCTTTGAGACCTATGCTTTGAGGAAGGGCTTCACAGCCATGAAAGCGACACACCCTCAAGTGGCGGACTATCTTTGTCATCTAAGACAAACAAAGCGGTTAAAAGGTTCAACACTCTCAACATACCTAGCGGCATTGAGCTCAGTTATCACCATGAGGACGAGTGTAAAACTGACTAAGGTACCAGAGATACTGGCCTTACTACGATCCTTCAAGTTGGAAGACCAACAACAGAGATTTAAAGCTCCGGGCTTGGGACCTCAATATAGTTCTACAGCATCTCACCAGTGACGCTTATGAACCATTAGATAGGACATCTTATGAGTTCTTGACACAGAAAACTCTATTTCTGATTGCCTTTGCAACAGCAGCACGGATGTCGGAAATACATGCTCTGGACTTTGAACGGACACGATTTGATGCGCACTGCAACATCGTACATATGGGACTAAGATGGGACTTTATAGCAAAGAATCAACTGCCAGGTCAACCTGACAGACAGTTCCACATCCCAGCATTATCATCAGTCCTTGGGCCTCAGGATACACAGGACCTATCCTTGTGCCCAGTAAGAGCATTAAAAGTCTACCTACAAAGGCCTAAGACCAGGAGAAGAAAATTCAAGCGCCTTTTCATCCCTATATCGGCAGAGACACCTATGGAGATCTCTCGCACAACGATATCAATATGGATGAGAGCTGTCATCCTAAGGGCCTATAAAGCAGCAGGACTTGATCCTTCACGAGCCTCCAATCCACATGAAGTTAGAGCTCTGGCATCAACACTCGCTCTACATGGAAACTGCTCCATCACCACGATAATGGAGGGCTGCTTCTGGAAATCAGACATAGTGTTTGCCAACCACTACCTGAGAGACATCACCACCGAGGACATCTCCAGCATTCACCAGTTTGGGCCTCTTGTTGTAGCACAACAACTGACGGTTCCACAAAGGCACTGAGACAGAGTCTCACCCTTTTATCACGTGACTTGCAAAAGCCAACACACTCTGGGGAGTTAGAGCTTTAGAGTCCATGCGCACGTCTAAGACAGACCAGCATGAGTGATAGACCCTGTACTTGTAAGGACGTGCTCGTACATAAGAAGGGTCGCTTCTCCACTTGATGCAAGCATCAAGAGATGGAGTTGCACAAATCCACACATAATGTTAGCAGAAGAAAGGCCCAAAAGCTGACAAGTTGTGGTCCCCCCATCAGAGAAAGCTGGAAGATAAGGTCAGCAGCAGCAGCAGAACCTAGCAGTAAATTAGCAGTGCTACCATGAAGTTCCCATAGGGGGGTATGCAGGACGTAAATCACCAAGCTTGGAATCCAGTTGTGGCATGACCCACCACCAAATCCGTTGGATTCTACAAGCAAAATAGCATGAGTCAGGATAAGGAAAAATATGTAATTTTCTGAATAAAATTGATATTTTATACTTATCCTGACTCATGAGGTCAGCCCTCCCAACCTCCCCTCAAGGCACTTTGAATTTCCCAGCAAATCTTAGTGTCGGGCTTGATATACAGAGAGAGTGAGGAGCTGGGAGACTGGTTTGCGCCGTTTCCCGCCGGACTGGGGAAGGGGCATAACTCTTGGTGAGTAGTGATTTTACGTCTGCTTTTTTTAAGGGAGCTTCAAAAAGGGGATTCAAGTGTTCCACTAACGTTCGCAAGGAGAAGAAGACAAGCAAAATAGCATGAATCAGGATAAGTATAAAATATCAATTTTATTCAGAAAATTACATATTTCTCTGCAGATGACTGAACATTACTGGAGCACTACAAGTTCAGCTGGGCTGTCCAATGAAGACTCCAACAGGAAATCTTTCCAGCGAACACAGAGTGCCCAGGTATGTTGTCTCATTGTTATCATATGATACTCAGGTATACATCTCTTGGTGTTAATTGTATTGCATGATACAATACAATTGTAAATGTTTCAGTACACACTGCAGGAGGCAACAGCATTGCTGACAGAGTTGGAGAACAGTGACAGCCCTGGTCTTGATGTCATCATGACCCCTGCAGATAGGACAGATCCTGCTGTACCTGGCCCAAGTATGGACACAACAGGACATGACATTAGTGAACCTAATGTTGATAAGGAGGACAGTAATACGTCAACATCACAAACAAGCTGATGAAAGGATGTGCAGTCATCGGTAACCCAGTGTGCTCACATGATGGGATCTTGGTGGTCTGTAATGTAGATGTCCACATGTTTCAATAAGACATCTGATGTTCATACCCATATTTCTCTGCCACAGAGTGTGAGGGAGTGTTGTGTGTTGACCGGTGCCTTACTCCTCCCACCTACTGCAGTTGACGTACCTGTCGGATGTCAGCCTGTCTGTATATCTTGTGTGTAACTTGGCAGCAGCCCACAATGGACCATGCCATGCAATTCACATCAAACCTTTGTCTCTGGGAAAACATCACCAACTTACAAACTGCTAACCTAATGCTTTATGCATTTGGGGACATTTTGTGTAGAAACTCGATGTTATATATTATGTATGTTGTACATGTTGGAAGGAGGACAGATTTGGGAAAGTTGTTTAAGTTAATGCTGTTAGATAGCTCAGATGCAGTATAAAATTAATATAAAACTCATATAAGTCTTAATTCCTGAAGTTCAGGTTGTGTAACAGATCTACAAGTTTTCCATTCAACAAGAACTTTTCAGACTGTTACAGTTCCAGTCAATAAACAACATCTCTGATCAGCACATTTTACCTAGAAACTCTACATTGTGCATATAGGTAAAAGAGCAAGTCTTTTTAAAGATGACATAATTTTCAAACTCAAAATTGTGTTTTATGGTTGTGTTTTTTAAAGTGAGTTGGGGATGTCGCGGGAAGTAAGGGTACATAAGTGACATTGTAACCTAGCTCTCGGAATGCAGGGGTTAACCAGTTCATCAGTGTCAGGAGTTGCGTTTGTGTGCATGGCCTGCATGGTAGATGTTTGAATGTCCTGTACTATGCACTAACCAGTGCTATCTTTCAAAAGTGGAAAGACTAACGGGATCGGGTGATCAGACTTGCTGACTTGGTTGACATATGTCATCCGTTCCCAAAGGCACAGATTGATGCTCATGCTTTTGATCACTGGATTGTCTGGTCAAGACTATTATGTGCAGACCGCCGTCATATAGCTGGAATATTGCTGAGTGTGGCATAAAACTAAACTCACTCACTCCCTCAAAAGTGGAAAACTCTTACACATCTCCTATTACATTGAAAAACATTACACATTAGTGAAATCCCTTTCCATAGCTTACAAAAAGGAAAAGCAAGTAACTTACCCTGTTGAATACCCCATATGATAAAATAACACCAAATCTGAATTTGCCCGAGGTGAGCCATGTGAGCCTCCAATAAGTACCTTTCATATGATCTTTGATTATCTGGCCTCCTGTGGAACTTAACCCCAATTTTATGGTAATCTTTGATATTTAACCATGCTTGGACTGAGATTAGGCATTTGTTGTATTATTACTTGGTTTACAAACTCCCATATATGTGGAATAAATTAAGAACTTTTCTTGTTCATGTCTATTGATATATTTCACTTAACCAAGGAGTTATGCAAGCATGGTCTTTGAGGCCAGTAACTCAAATAGTGAAAGTGACACTGTGAATAATAACTTGAGCCATTTGGGGGTCTTTTGCTGAAAAAACTAGCCATGTACTTTATGTAAGTGTTTTGCGATTTTATTTGTATTTTATTGCAACCACAAAACTGTTTTGTTCAGAAAGTAACTTTGTAAGCTGAACAAAAAGGCTTTGCAACCTATCTTGCTCTAAAAGAGACACTAATAAGTTCCTTTCCCATGGCTAGATACTGTTCCCTTCTCATGGTTTTATGTAGGTCCCTCCTTACGACTTGATGGTGGTCGTGAGTCATGGCTAGATCCAGTTCCCTACTCATGGCTAGTTAAAGTTCCCAACACATGGAAAGATGCTGTACCCAACTCATGGCTAGTTACAGTTCCCAACACATGGAAAGATGCAGTTCCCTACACATGGAGAGATGCAGTACCCTACACATGGCTAGTTACAGTTCCCAACACATAGAAAGATGCAGTTCTCTACTCATGGCTAGTTACAGTTCCCAACACATGGAAAGATGCAGTACCCTACACATGGCTAGTTACAGTTCCCTACACGTGGAGAGGTGCAGTACCCTACACATGGCTAGTTACAGTTCCCAACACATGGAAAGATGCAGTACCCTACACATGGCTAGTTACAGTTCCCAACACATGGAGAGATGCAGTACCCTACACATGGCTAGTTACAGTTCCCTACATGTGGAGAGATGCAGTACCCTACACATGGCTAGTTACAGTTCCCAACACATGGAAAGATGCAGTTCTCTACCATGGCTAGTTACAGTTCCCTACACGTGGAGAGATGCAGTACCCTACACATGGCTAGTTACAGTTCCCAACACATAGAAAGATGCAGTTCTCTACTCATGGCTAGTTACAGTTCCCTACACGTGGAGAGATGCAGTACCCTACACATGGCTAGTTACAGTTCCCAACACATGGAGAGATGCAGTACCCTACACATGGCTAGTTACAGTTCCCAACACATGGAAAGATGCAGTTCTCTACTCATGGCTAGTTACAGTTCCCTACATGTGGAGAGATGCAGTACCCTACACATGGCTAGTTACAGTTCCCAACACATGGAAAGATGCAGTTCCCTACACATGGCTGGATGCAGTTCCCTACCTATGTCTATTCAATCAGTTTACATTTGATGTTTTCATGCACTAGCAAATAAAAGAGTTGATTTTGACTACAATTGAATGAGCCCATGAGTTTTCATACAAAGTATGTAAAAAATGTTGTCATTGTGCACATATGAGCAATTGTGAAACAAACATGGGTTATGACAGGGCTGCAGATTTTTAAGTGATTTATGGTTGATTATGTATTTTCCTGTTTCCAGACACATTTGTCCAGATGTACAATGGGTTGAGTTTTTAACAAATGAATGTTTCATCAACACCCTCTTTCACATAAATCTCTGTTTCTAGGGGCCATCACACTATGTTAACTGTCTGGTGAACAAAATGTGACTTACACTTACTTCTGTCAGTAAATACATGTTGATTGGTATAGCCACATTGGTACCTTGTTGAACTGCTTTTATATAATCCAAGCTTCCTATATACTCTCTTGAAACCATTTAAACTATTTCTATTGAGCTGACACTAAAAATGGATAACTATATACTTTGTCAGGAAACTGTTTTGATCTTTATGAGGTTCGTTGTACTGTAATTTGATTATTCCAGGCTTATGGTTGAAGTAAATAGGAAATAAGTGCTTGGTCAGTAGATACAAAATGTGTTTTTAGGGGCCTGTTCAGGCAGTCAGTTCATATGGGTTTAATGCTATCTTTCAAATTCAGCTTTCAAGCTGACAAATCTGATATAAACACAAATAGCTGTTACTGGAAAATACAAATAAAATCACTCATCATTTTCTACTCAGAAACAATGAACATCACAGTTATTTTCCTAATTTCTTTAAGAAGTTTTCTGTGTGGCTGCAATAGCAGACAAAAGCCCTACTTATGATCATCACTCGTCAAGTTTTAGCTCACCTGACTCCAAGTCAAGTGTGCTTACCGGTATGTCATGGCCTGGTTAATGGCGTCTGTAAACGTCTGGAGCAATGAAGCTAAAACCACCAATGAAAACACCTGAATACAAGAAGTTTGACTTGACCTTTGCCCTTTAACTTTACTGAAAGTCAGTTAATTTTAGACTATACACTCATTTCTCTCACATTGAAAATTAAATGCACTATATATGGGTTGGACTGACTCACTGAGTTTGGTTTTAAGCCGCTTTTAGCAATATTCCAGCAATATCATGGCGGGGGACACCAGAAATGGGCATATATGGGTTGGAATTTTATATGACTATGAGAACTTTGTTTTTCAAGCTAAACAGGCCAGAGTTGGTACAGTAATTGGTGCTAATTGAATTAGACTGGTCTCCTGTCTAGTTCCAAAGCATTAGATACTCACCATGAAATTAATTGTGTGAAGAAATATGCAAAAAAATACCAAAAGATGCATTATTAATGGAACTGAAAGTAGCAGGATAGATTGATAGTATGTATTTTTATTCATAAACCTCACCCAGCTGAACATACCACATATGTAGAACAATATTGACCTAGGTATGACATCTTTATCATCAAGCGACTTTCACATATGTTCACCTACTCAAGTTGGCAGGATATTAGGAAGGAGACTTTTGTTGTTTCAGGGATTATATATACGTAATTATGACATGTTAGTAATGAGAAACATCCTGACAATGTTCTTCTTGTTATGTTCTGTTTGTTTTCATTGTAACCAAACTGGAAATAGGCAGAAATGGGGAGAAGTACTCTTATGAGTTTGTGTCAGTCATTCATGCTGGACAGAAACTCAAATATATGTATAGGGTGTTGAAAGTGCCAAATCATTTAAATACTGGTACATCATTTGTTATTTCCCCCATTTTTTTATTCTTTATTTCGATAATCTTTCCATACTTTTTCGAAAGCTAATGAGCATGTGTATGCAACAAGTAGGGTAATAGATCTCTCACAATATGACTGACTGACTGAGTTTGGTTTTACGCCGCTTTTAGCAATATTCCAGCAACATCACGGCGGGGGACACCAGAAATGTACCCATGTGGGGATTCGAACCCAGGTCTCCGGCGTGACGAGCCAACGCTTTAACCATTAGGCTACCCCACCGCCCCCTCACAATATGAGATGAATATATGAGGAATTCAAGTATTCAGGCGGGTTTGAATTATTGCTGATGTAATAGGCGTAACATAGCTGACACCTGTGTAATGTGAGTTTATTAATATGACAGAAGTTGCTTCACTATTCATGTTTTCCAAAAGATTCTTAGTGATTATGTGTCATCGACAGCTTTTCAGAATAATCTCTGGTGATTTGATGAACAGAAACTAACTATGATCGCGTATATGCTATTTTAAAAATGAATTCTCCAGTAGATTTTCTATTTCAAAACATCCACAAAATAACACTGTGATTAGTGATTTTTGTAATGCATTAAAAATTGCAAGATTAGTAGTTTTCAGTACTTCTGTCCTCCCTATGATGAGTGGATAACTTCACCGAAGAGGGAATTTCCCACAAAAATCAAAATTGTGCAGAATCCTAATGTTTGTGATGTATTTGAATATTCCTTCCACATTAAAGTAAGGTTTTAAGAGAAGGGACATTATGGGACAAAGGATTTTACAATTTATGCAAAAAAAGTAGCAAACTTCGAATAACAGGACATTCGCTGATTGCAAGGCTGATAAAGTGCATATAGATAGATAGAGTATCTTTATTTCCTCCAAAAAAATGAAGATTGTTACATGTTACAACAATAAGTCAAGTTGAATATACAGTGAATCAGTAAACAGTTAATTGTGCAAATATTTTAGAGTGACAGCCATAAAATCAGACACTATTAGCATAACTTTCTCCCATTTTGTCATATTTAGATTACCAAGTGTTGTACAAGATCCACCTTGCAAATCAGCAATTATTACATCGTCATCATTTCCCCAAAATTCAACAAAATCAGATATTGATATAATATCACATATCCTTTCAAACATTTCATTTCTCAAATCATTAAGATCTGTACAGGACATAATAACATGTTTGACAATGTCAGAAGCTACTGTTCCACATATACATTCTCTGGATTCAATCTGTATACATCCAACATGAATAATATGAGAGATTTTGTCAAATTTATGCTTATTAATCAAAGCTAGTTCCCACAGCCTGCTTATACAGTGAGGGTTAAGCTGTAGACTGAACATGGAGACACAAGAACTACACACCTGTACCCACACAACATCAGTTGGGATTAATAATGTCTAGTAACATTAGTTGGGATTAATAATGTCTAGTAACATCAGTTGGGATCAATAATGTCTAGTAACATCAGTTGGGATCAATAATGTCTAGTAACATCAGTTGGGATCAATAATGTCTAGTAACATCAGCTGGGATTAATAATGTCTAGTAACATCAGTTGGGATTAATAATGTCTAGTAACATCAGTTGGGATTAATAATGTCTAGTAACATCAGCTGGCACCAATCATGTCATATTGCAATGGTGTGTTTATTTCAGAAAATGAACGATCAGTAAAGGTACAAAATTTGAATTGATACAATGCGAAAGATAAATGCCTTACTTGTGATATCTGTACTGTTTTGACTATGAAACTACCAGATAAATACTTTTTATGTTTCACGTAAACTTGCTGTATAATATCAACATCATCTTTTGATAAGCGTTGATGTTTTGAATTGTTGACTACCTATCCTTGTGAACTACTGTGCAATGTTATGAAATTTGTTATGTTCAGCTGGTATTGGGCCTCTTACTTCCTCTGTGTTAATCTTGATATTAATTTCACCTGTATGCTTTTAAATTGTTACTAGATGCTTACGTAGCATCTGATGACTGATGACTGATGACTTTGAGAATAGGCATGTGTGTTTCTCATGATAGTTTAATCAAATCACTACAATTTTAGTATTTTTGTTCCTCAGTATTTATGCATTATTAATTGAATATCAGTGTAAGGGTGGGACCTTATTGCTTTAAGTAACTCTTTTAACATTTTAAAGTGTTGTTGACATATACATGAGCTACAGAACTAGGGCACTATTTCCTTCTGTTGGTTTATGTATTTGTATCCAGGGAGTCTTATTTCTGCCTCTCAATGAAGGCATTTATGTTGATTCTTGGAGGCAACATCTGAGATTGGCATTCATTTTACTGAACTGTTGGATATCATCGGCCTGCACCAGAGACTATGCAAGCTGGCATGTGCATACTTTCAATACTTTTGATCAAGTAGAGCCTGTTTATTGTGAAATAGGTGTGCCAAATCCCTAAGCTAACCCCAATTTGGGCAGATTTTACATTCTGTGAGTGACTGGAGATCTGTTCAAACCTGGGTCTCCATGGACAGTACTCTCATATTTATCCTGACAAACATTTTGATAAACACATCATTGTACCCCTGTCCATGTTCATCAAGGACCCAAACTCCACCTATTCATTCACTTCCATGTGTACTGTGGTTCATGTTATGGATGTGGGAATGTCCCTGATTCAGATACAACATAAACATAAATGTCTGACAAGCGAAAAAGATATTGCAGTGTGAATTTTGTAATACAGTACCCTTAACATTACCTATGTGTATGTTCCATCTGGTTAGTTCTTTAAGAAAAGATATTCCTCCTTATAAAATATTGTGTGTACTATACTTACTTCTAAATGTTATTGTGTAAGATAAGATTTGTAACTTGTTTCATATGGCCAACCATAAGTAGCTTTATATAATTTTAACCAGTATTGATTGGGTGTGAACCAAGAAGTTATTGGCAGTATATTTACCGTCTTCTGGAATCCACTAATGGAAAACTGTTATACATTATACATTGTTAAACAGAGGGTATGTGTTAAAGTCACTATGACAGCTCTTGTTTTACATGCAGTATGTTATGTCAGATTCATTTGCTCAGCCAAATGAAGTCTTATACAGACACTGTTGTCACTGAGTATTTCTATGGAAGACACAAGGTTTTGTCATGTAACACTGCAGTCAGCATAAAGAAGCTGTAACAAATATGTAATCTCATGAGCTGTACTGTGTTCCTGATTTTTGAAAGATACAGTCGATTTAAGACTTTCTTTTACACAAGACGCAGTTTTGAACTACCATGGCAAATTCACACTTCACTGAAGACGCATCTAGAGACACCTCCTGTGTGACCAGTTTTGCATTAAAGCATGCTTAATAGTTCCTAAAAGATATGAAATATATTTTTCAAAATATTGATGAAATATTTATCTACAATTTGTTTTAATATGAAGTGTTTTTAGTTCACCCAATTGAAAGTCAAATGAATTCATGTCAAGGCCTCTATGCATTTGTGACTAAGAAACATCTTCACAGAAACCCCTGAACACCATATGCTTGCTTGTTCACACAAATGGGTGAATCCCCAGTTTGTTCATGGTCTTTAAATTTTACTTAGCATCCATATTGAAGGACCTATTTTTTACTCTTGATGAGTAACTTTGGTTAAGAATGTGATGAAATTTAAAAGATGTTTGGTTAGAAGTGGTTATTAACATGGCTTTGCTTTTTCTGCAGTTTTTGAATTTTAACTTTTGCACTTTCATGAAGTTGCAAAAATATCTAAAAATGTATTTCCTCATTAAATCTGAATTTAAATATTTATTCGTTTATGGCTATTTTTGTATCATAAATCATAAAAATGTGTTATTCTTTTGCTTTTTGTGGAATTCATAACATCTTCCCTTTTTTTAAGCAATATTTCAGAATTATGACCTTCTTCTGACAATGCTCTTAAATTCTCTCAAACTACATTTGTAGCTGTGTAAACCGTTCTCAGAGTGACAGATGTAAGAAGTTGAACTTAAGGATTTATGTTTCAGCTTATGACAACATAATATTAGGTTCAGTCATTAGATATTATCAATGAGAACCACTTTTATATGACTGTCTTCGACGACGTTTGAAGCAGTTAACAACATATCCATGTGAACTGCAGTGCCAAGGCAATAATCTTAATAAACTGATGAAAATGTAAGTCCTTATATGATGACTGTGAGATGTTGTTTTAGCGCAATCCAATGCTAAATATGAATGTTTCTTGGTAGATGGTGCAAGAACTACTGATCCAACTGAAGTTTTTGGCTTGTTGATCCTTCATCACCGAAGAGATTTGTGCTCTATTAAAATTCATTAACTTCAATTTTATATTTTCATTCACCCAAAACAGGCAAAGAGCTAGTAAAGAAACATATGCTCTCTTTAGTTTATAACAAATATTGCAGTGATGCAATTCTTTGCCATTACCTCATCAAAAGTAATTTGATACCGAAACTCAATCATATGCTGTTTATGTATACAGATTTCACCATGTACATAAATTTGTTACCTGTTTATGAAATGTTTTGTACATTATTAAGCTGTTATCAGGATGATTAAAAGTTAAAATATTCACTCATTTTGATGTCTTTTTTTGTTTGTCTTAAATAACTATAGCTGTTTTATTCCCTTCATGGCTGAGATGAAAACTTGAAACCCCAAAAGAAGCAAGCGACACGCTCCACTACCTACCCACATAACTACCTCTGAATGATCATTCTCTTTCTTGTCGCACCACTGGGTGGACATATTGTAACTAGCTTTATTCCTTCATTTTCGTATCATGGGAAAGTCAGATTCATCTGCAAAGAAATGTAATTTTTGCGTGCAGTGTAAGACAATTTTCCCAACCTCGGATCCCCACTCGTCATGTGTGGATTGCATAGGCCTGTGTTCATGGAGCAATGTTCTCCCCTTACAGAAGAGGATTTCACCAAGCCGAACCGATTCACCATGCTGAACCAGTTCACCACACTGAATTGATTCACCATGCCAGATTGATTCACCACGCTGAACTGGTTCACTGCACCAAATTGATTCACCCTGCCGAACCATTTCATGTCACCAAATCGAATCACCAGGCCGAACCGATTCACTAGGCCAAATTCATTCACCCCGCTGAACCGATTCACCCTGCCGAATTGATTCACCACGCCGAACCGGTTTACCAAGCCGAACCGATTCACCACGCTGAATAGATTCACCATGTCAAATCGATGCACCATGCCGAATCAATTCACCAGGCCCAACCAATCAGATCACCTTCTCGAACTGGCTCTTATCACCCAACTAGTTCACCTGACTGTACCGGATCAAAGTGCTGAACTGGTTCACCTGGTCATCACCATTACACCATTCCAACGTCCCAGATCTGCTATTCAGCAGCATTTAACGGTTCGCCTGCATTCGCCTATTCCCTCTCCATCTAGGCATCATTACAGTTCTTTGGACCACCGATCACCTACTCAAAAAAGTTACCCTGCTACTGCGAGGCCTGTGCCTCCCTCAGATTTCACGTTGTCTCATTCTGTGGCTCAGCCTCCTAGATCTCAGAGTCATGGAACCCATCCCAGGATCCCACACCTGCGCCAGACTTAGAAAGGATGCTTCATTCCCTCACTGCTGCTTGGAACCAGTGTCAGTCTTCACATTCCTCGCAACCAGTTCCTTCTTCAGCTACCTTGCCTCCATGTCCCTGCATCTCACATACGACTATTACTCTTGACAATGCTTTAAAGAGTCTGAAGAGGACTAAAGATGGTCTCTCTTCTCTTTGATATATTCTGTCGGCTGCTCACAATCATGGAGTCTCATCCATCTCTATGGCTCCACCAGTTGATGAAGACATCCCTATTCTTTGCGGGAAGCGGACCAGTTCTCCCTTCCTCATGGAAAACAGGGAGTTGGCACACATGGACACTGTGGTTTGCTTTACCCTGCCGTCCATCAGTTGTGTTTTTTCGGCTGAGGATGCTGTCAATGCCTTTTGGATCAGGATGCCTATATCAGAGGGTGCATGACCCTTATTTTAGATCAATTCCAAATCATTTTGGATCAGTTATCTCATTTCTTTGTATATACGCTTGCAGTTCGCCGTCATTCACTCAACCTTTCCTCATGGAACAAATGGTTCAAGGCAGAGCTATTCCGACAGCCTTGGTCATCTGTCGCCTTGTTCAATAGCATGATAGGTGAGGACTCGACCAAAGTGAATTGCGAGACACATTTCCAGGTTTTGGTTAAGTTTCAGAAGACTCACCTCCAGGAATCTCTGAAACAATGGCGTACTCCTCACTTCACTCCAACTAATCCCGGACTTAAGGACTTCTTTCGTGGTCGGCAGCCTGTGGATGGGGTAAGAAGGCTACCCGTGGCAGCTTCTGCCATTGCCCTGCCAAAACCAGGAATCAGTGACTTACGGACATCTTTTCACGACTTGAAACTCCTACCCCAAGTCATCCCGATTTACGACACCAATGAACTGATTCGCATTCCTGAACTGCTTCATCCAGTCCTTGAGTGGTTACTGGACTAACAGTGAGTGAGTGAGTGAGTTTTAGTTTTACGCCGCTTTTAGCAATATTCCAGCAATATCACGGCGGGGGACACCAGAAATGGGCTTCACATATTGTACCCATGTAGGGATTCGAACCCGGGTCTTCGGCGTGACGAGCGAATGCTTTAACCACTAGGCTACCCCACCGCCCCTGACTGGACTAACAGAATGTCTGCGCCGGAGTCTCTATGCTGCCCTTCGCACCGACTCATCATCTGTTCGTTGATGCGTCTCTCAAGGGCTGGGGCGGTCACTTCCTCGGGCTGTGGTCATACAAAGAACAGGCTCTTCACATCAATGAAGTTGAATTCAAAGGAGTAATTCTAACCATCACACATTGGGCAAAGGAGCTACGAGCAGCCAGTCTGCTGATCCAATTGGACAACTCGACCATCTGGGCTCGACAAGCTTGGTGAACCTGCTACAGTGGACGATAAGATTTTATCATCTCATCGATTCACTCGACATTGGTGCTACAGCCAGTTGGCATAAAGAATGTGTTCGCTGACGCCCTGTCACTCTCCCACCGCCTGTCTCCAACGGAATGGAAGTTACTTCCTCAGATTTTCCAGTCAATGGTCTACCCGTTACCACGGCCCCAACCCAAATAGACCTGCTCGTCAGAAGGTTCAATCACCAACTTTCGTATCTCCCATTTCCAGACTCCAGACCCTCCAGAAGGGATTTCACGTTCCCCCTCCAGCTCTACTACTGAGAATAATGCAGAACCTGTTGGCGGCCAGCAAGATACGTCTGCTTTTGGTCCCTCCTTGACTTCTGGCGTTTGATACAGTCTTCTCATCTCAACTTGCGAGACCTGTTTGTCACGGACTTTATGTCAATCTTTGTTTCTCTATTCTTATGGGTTTAGAACTATTTCACTTGGTATCATCACTAAGGCATTTGGATACTGTCACCAAGATAGACTTAGAGGCAAAGTCTTGTATCCCGATGCAGAGCGTCAGTGAAGTGTGTCATTCCCGAATTCCAGTTGCTTTCTATAGTTTGGCATGAAATGCATGTGGACCCGTTTTTTTTGTAAGTATCTCTTCATCCAATGACCCAATCGATCTCAAACTGTGCAAGTTGATGTTTTGTCAGACAACCTAATCACATTGTAAATCACCGATTTTATGCATTTGTATTAAAGAATCTGTCTATGTAACTGTCAACAAAATAAACAGCAGAACGCAGAATGCTTGCAGAGGGAGGGAGCCAATGACCTGTAACAGCGGCAGTGTTGGGTCATAAAGGTAAATGCACGTGCAGTTCATGATAGTTACCTGTGCACTGCACAGTGATAGACCGTTTGGATCATTCACATTGACTACTTCTAGCTGTCATCATGAAAGCTTATTCAGATGATGCTAAACGTTTAATTAGAAATGTGTTGAATTTTTTTAAAAAGAGCAAACGTAGCAAACCGATTTATAAGGTGTCGGATTACATGAAACGTACATAGCTGACCTACATTGACGAACGTTGACCTTTATGCCCCAACACTGCCGCTGTTACAGGTCATTGGCTTCCTCCCTCTGCAAGCAGTCTGCGGTCTGCTGTTTATTTTGTTGACAGTTACATAGACAGATTCTTTAATACAAATGCATAAAATCGGTGATTTACAATGTGATTAGGTTGTCTGACAAAACATCAACTTGCACAGTTTGAGATCCATTGGGTCATTGGATGAAGAGATATTTACAAAAAACCGGGTCCACATGCATTTCATGCCAAACTATAGATCTGGCTCATCCTTTGAGAAAGCTTATGTAAAAGAGTGAGGGTCGATATGATGTTGTCTCGGAACTGAACGTTAAAACTTGTGCGCTTTCCGATTCAGTTTTCCTTTCACCTTTTACATGATGGTGTCTGTGGGGGCTGTTTTGAAGCATGGTCTGGGCCGAATATTAGTCGAAAGACTTTAATTATGGGGCTACCTTGTAAATCGTGGGAATCGTTGTGCTTAGTAAGCCAAGGGGCTCCAGAGGACCCATCACAAGCATTGGAGTTGCGTGCAGTCGTAACAGGCCTCCCTTGTGCATCGCTATCTAAGGTTGTCATCAATCCACATAGGTTTTGCATTGCTGTTCGCGCTGTCTAGACATAGGATAATCTGCAACCAACCGTGGGATAAGTGCAAATCGTGAGATAGGATAAGTTTAAAAAATTGAAAATTTTAACTAACAACTGCATATTTATATACTTATCCTATCTCACGAGATGCATGCCCGCTGGCCTCCCCACTACTCAGATCACGATGTTGGCTCCAAGAACGAGAATGATCATTCAGAGGTAGTCAAGTGGGTTGGTAGTGGAGCATGATTCGGTTAGGATTTTGGTATGTTGCCCAACTTGTAGAGCAGCATGAAGAACGAGAGGCCCAAGAAAAAGTTTACAGTCGTTCCACTCAGTGTCGAAGCAAGCGAGAGAGGTGCAACACGTAGGATAGGATAAGTATATAAATATACAATATATATTTAAAACTTTCAGATTTTTAAACTTATCCTTTCTCACTATTTGCACTTATCCCAATATTATTTTGATGACGTAATAAACAGCATCGTTAATACACTGCAAGAACGCCAATTGGATACATGACTGCCCTTTCCCATGAGATGGCCTTAAGAGAACATGTACAAAGATGTGTGTTGAGACAGTCATATTTAATAATAAATAATAATAATGTGTCCATTTATATAGCGCCAAACTCCACACTAGGTATGCTCATAGCGCTAACAATCAAGGCACAGCACATTATTACCCCGGATAACCCAAGCTGCCTGTTAGGCGCTAGAAGGTTATAGTCATATGACTTTTTTCCACCGGGTACCCATTTTCCTGCTGGGTGAACAGAGACAATTTTGAACAAACTCGCTTGCCTAAGGTGAGACCACATGTGTCACATGTGCTTCGTTGTGGGGCAGGACTCAAGTCCTAGAAACTCTCAGGAGTCAAGCTGCCAAACATGGACACCCATCCAAGGACTCTCAGAGCTCGACGCTGCTTACTTCACCGA